TCCCTCCCTCTCCCTTCCTCTCTGAAATCAATAAAAATATTTTTTAAAAAAGAGTTTAGTATACTTTGTTCACGTGTTCTAAAGCCTCATTATTAACCTTGGAACTGGAAATAGTTCCCCAGACAGCCTAGCACTGCTTGGTGAAATGACACAAAGATTAGGAATTAAAATGAAGCTAACATCTCATAAGTATTCTATGCTAGATGTTGTGCTAAGCATTTTGCATGTTATCACACAATCTTAAAAAAGAACCTATGAATTAGTACCTGCATCTCGTCCTGTAGATGAGGAAATAGTCTTGGAGAGGTGGCCTAAGGTTCAGAGCATTTGAGCCGGCCATCAGTAGTAGCTCCATAGCGGCTGGTGCTAACCACCTTGCAGTGCTACTCAGTCCAGAACATACCCTTTTCCTCACTAACTTGACATAGCAAACAGGAAAAAATAATGGGTGTAGGGAACTGACGGTAGGTGTCTCTTGAAGGTAATGAAACCATACAGAACTTTGAGGGGATGTCCTAAGAGGAGTGGCAAGACAAATGGAAATTAACAAAAGTGGTATTTTGAAATGCTAATTTAGCTGGCCTTTAGTTTGAACTACAGGTTCAAAAAATAGTCTGAATTATGTCTCCAGAATGTCTGGTAATGGAGACATTATCAGGTAAATGAGATGATGTATGAAAAGAACAGCAAACTAACCTGCTATAGGAATATATGGTATGGTTCTCCCAGAATTGTTTGACTTCTTTTCTAATAAGTTTGTATAGCCTCACAATTATTGCACATATTTTCCCTTTGTTGTTTGTTTCATTGCAAATCTTGATTTCCTCTAAAACACAAAAAGGATAGACTTAAAGTTACTGGTTTCACAGAATCTAAAAAATTCTAAAAGTTCAAATTTCCATTGTAGCAACATCAAAAACAAGTTGCAAAGAATATGGTATTTTTTTTTTTTTTTTTTTTTTTTATCCACCCAGCAATTGGGTTTGGTTAAATAAAACCTTTGCAAACATAGTGCTAGCTGGAACCAACAAAAATGTAAAGAAAAATTTTTACTAGGGTGTTTTTTTTTTTAAGTCTATCACATACCCCTTTGCTCATATTTCATCCCTTTAAATAGCGCTGAACCCGTCGTCCCCAAAGCATTTTACAGAGAATTAGTTCAATCTGTAGAATTGATACGAAATAGTCTACCTATAAGATAGACGCTGCACCTCACCACAAATTTGAATGCCTTCTGGAGCTTTGTTGTGTTCACACCTTTCAGAGGTTTGGGCATAATTTTTATTCTTACCTGTCATGGACGGTTTTAGCCAAGACGCTGCTCAGACACCCGATCTCCTTGTATTATTTTATTTCCTTTATTCCCTTGTCTTGGCTCCATTCCTGGACGGAGAGGAAAGGCAGGTGCCTGAGAGCGGCAATGGTCAGACCCTCGGCTGGAAAATACCAAGGATGCGGAAGGGACCTGGCATCCCTTTAGTTCCCGGTGCCCCTGGTACTACTTAAGGATGCGAAACTCGAGCCGCAGGGGGAAACTTACCCGCGCCCCGCCCCGCCCAGCGCACTGCAGGCCCCGCCCCGGTACGTGCTGGGCTGCAGCACCGCAGCCGGGCCCCCGCCCGCAGCTCCGCGCCCCCTGGGCTGGGAGCCGGCGCAGGTCCCCGCGCCCTACTCCCGGGCTGCTGCCTACGTGTGTGAGCGCATGTCGGGAGGCCGGGCGGGCACAGGAGGGGTCAGCACTGCCTTGGTCTTAGGCGACTTGTCCAGTTCTGGTGCCTCGCACTTCCCCAAACTTGGTTTTGGGTGGGTGGTCGGTCGGCGAGGAATAGGTGTTGCCATGGAACTGTCTCCGACATTGCCAGTCTCATGCTTTGGGGTGTGAAGCTGTGCTTTATAGAATAGGAGAATACCCGAGGTCTCCTAACAGGTTGGACCTTGGTTACCTATATAACAGCTTGTTTTTTAAATGTCATCCACTAATTTGATCAAAAATAGAGGAGTTTGTTTGTTTAAATATATTCCCCTGAAGGCACCCAAAGGCAGTTTATTTTAAATAAAGCCCTTGGAGGTGTCTCAGATGAAGGGAATGGAAAGTTTAGCTGCCCCAGGTGTTTTTGTTTCGTTGATTTGCTTGTCATGTTTTTGTGTTGTTGTTTTTTTAATTTGTTGTGTGCCTGCACCTTATCGAGGCCAGATATTGAGAGTTCTTTGGGAGAAGATAATCTCGATGGACAGAAAGGAGGTGAGTTTATGGATACAGAAAAGCTTGGGGCTGTAAATGTAACCGGCTGTAATTAGTGTTAGGATTGCGCAGTTCGTTGTAAAGTACAAAGGCAGGTCTTGTTTAAAATAAATAACCTCACCTCTGCATAGTCACAGGTGACTACAATAGACATTTTATTGTAAATTATTTTCTTCAGGAAAATTTATTGTTTATGGGTTTTCAAATAGAATTTCCCAGAAAGTAATGGTCTATTTTTTAAAAAGTGGTCAAGGTGTTTTAAATATATATTTTACTAATAAGAACTGATCGGTAGCCTCAATCATGGCATGTTTGATTACAAAGGTGCCATATAAGGAGAGTGATAAACTCTTTTGGCTTTGTGAATACTTAATAAATCATTATCAAACGGTGATTCTCCACAGAGAAGAACAAGCTGGGGGGGGGGGGGTGTGGGGATGGGGGTGAAGGGATTGTGCAGTGTTTAATCACAACGGGTAATGTCCTTTAAAACACTGAGAAAGCATATAGCCTAGCAAGTAAACTAGACTCTGTTAAGTCAAATCTATTTTTTAAAGATGTTGGAACAGTAAAACATCAAAGAAACATTATTTTTGGTAGAGATCCCTTTCCAAATATTACTGGATAACATTTGGTCTTTGAAATAGATTTCAATGTTTCTATACACAACTGCAGTGACAAACTCTTTCATAGGAGCACTAAACTAGCTGCCGGGTGAGCCATTATAAATTGTTGCCTCACTGCCTTATCTGCTGGTAGACTATTTAAAGCAAAAAACAAACAAACAAACAGAAAAACCACCTAACCGACGTGACCTGCTAACACTGCAAATCATTGAGGAGCCAGCTCAGCCAATTTGTCTCTGGTCAAAGTCAACTGCCAATATTTGCTACCCCTGCGAACTTCAGCTTTCTTACTTCACTGCTCAGTTTTTACGTTCTCTGATCATTTATGTATCTTTTCTCCCCCATTACACTCATAGTTCCATCAGAGCACGCTTCCCATCTGATTCATCTTTGTTACAAAAGCCCCCTTCTCTGTTTGCAAGGACAACTCACACATGACTGAGGTGGGAGAATTCATGTGACATGAATTCAGGACCATGTTAAACAAAAACCTTCACCGCCCCAAACTTTTGTGAAAGAGTTTATTGAGCCATATGCCAGCCATATGGCCAGGTCCTGGGACATACAGTCTAAACCAGCAGCAGCAGGGCCAGATGGAAAAGACACACACTGCGATTCTGGAGCTGATGGAACCCTTTTATACAATGAGTTTTTGGAAAAGAGATGTAAGTTGTTTTTGAAAGAATTGACATTGACTGTAGATAAAGGGGTAGAATGAAGAAAAGATGAAGCAGAGGCAGTTCTAGGATAGGTGCCTAGTCCATAAGGAAGACATGTTTACTAATGTTTTTATTAGTTGTGGGCAAGAGTCCGAAAGTTCATAAAGAAGGACTCAGTGGTGTCTGGTTGATTCAGAGTTTCAACAAACATTCAGGAATATGAGTAGTTTTTCTTAGTTTTAGCACACATATTAGCTGAGTACTTCCGTTGTCTCCCACTCTCCAATCCACTGTAATTTAATTTAGGACATTGCAGAATTTATCTCTTGCCAACCATTTTCTAGCTCTCCCAATGAAATCCATTCAATGAACAAATACTGAGGGTTGAGTGAGTCCAAGATGTTTGCTTTGCCCTGAATGTTTGTGTCCCCTCAAATTTATATGTTGAAACTTAACCTCTAAGAGTTAGTATTAGGAGGTGGGGGGGCCTTTGGGAGGTGATTAGATCATGAGGATGGAGCCCTCATGAAGGGGATTCATACCCTTATAAAAGAGGCTCCAGAAATTTCCATTGCCCCTCTGGCCATGTGAGGATGCAATAAGAGAGAATCATTGATCGGCTGCCTCCTGCATGCCCCACACTGGGGATGGAGCCCACAACCTAGGCATGTGCCTTGACCGGAATTGAACCATGACCTCTTGGTTCATGGGTCCACACGCAACCACTGAGCCACTTCGGCTGGGCCGTAGGCTTTTCTATCGTATTACAATGCCTCTCCTACAGAATAAGAACAGCATGCCCTGCAATCAGAGAAATGGTGAAAAGTACAAAATATTACTCCACACCTAGCTCTAGGGATAAGCTAGGAGGTGGAGTGTACACAGAAAGCCAATTTAGCCACGTAATCAATAAGTACATATACTGTAAAATAAATTTTTTCTGTGAAGCACTGTAGCGCAGGGGTGGGTGGGTGGTGGGGAGATATTTACAAAACAGTTTCTCAAGAGTGCTTGCAGAAGGCTGCTAGGGCTCCAAGGAGAGCGTCACACAGCTGCCTGTTGTGTGGTTATAGAGTCTATAAGGGCATGATGAGTCCAGTTCATTTTTCTAGTAAACTCTCTTTAGATCCTCTGGCCACCAGGGGGTGGGCTGAGGCTCTGAACTGTTCCCCTAGCTATAGAAGTTGACTTTTGTGCCTCTGCCACTTTAAGGGAGAGTGATAGTAGGGTTTGCCAGTTTTCATAAGCTAGCCTAATGCAGACCTAATTCCTTCTTGGGCTCACAAGACACTGGAGATGTACACATCTTCAAAGAAATGACAAGGACTGATTTTAGTCCTTGTATAAGAGGAGAATTGAACGCTCCACTCCCGCGCACGCGCAGCAAGCATCGAGGACCGGAGCTCGGTCCGGCTGGAGGTGGAGCCAAAGGAACCGGATATGACGTCACGGAGCGCGTGCGGGTGCACGTCGTCGGAGGCGGGGTGTCCGGGCTGGGTTTCCTGGGCGACCGCCGCCGGCTGGACCGCTGGCCGAGTGCGCGGGCTTTGCAGGCATGGGGGCCCCTCCAGGCCTGCAGGCCGATTGCGAGGAGCTGCTCAGCCGCTTCCAGGAGACGGACAGCGTGCGCTTCGAGGACTTCTCGGCGCTCTGGAGGAGCATGAAGTTTGGGACCATCTTCTGGTGGGTGTTTCTCCGCTCCCGCCTCTCTCTCTCCCCACGTCCGCTCCCACGCGGCGTAGGTAGTGTCAGCCCTCCTCCCTCCGCCTACCTCCCGCCTCCCGTCGCCGCACCTGGGAAGGGCTTGGAGCAGCGGCAGCCTCTGGAATCCACCTCCATTTCTCCCGGGTCTTTAGTGCGCCCCGTGACGCGTTTTCCTTGGGCGATTTCATTGGCTTCGGTTGCATCCTTTTGCGGCCTCTTCCCGAATATGTATTTCTGCCTGGCCGCCCTTTTCAACCCTCCTCTCATCTGCACTGCCCCAGCCTGACCTAGGTCCCCATCGCTTGCCCTTCTCCAGGCTGGTTCTTCTAGAGCCCCCATATTTCAAAATAAAAGAAACACCCAAGCAAAGACAAAAAGCACGATTGAATTCATTTCACCTATAACAACCAGAGTTCTCTTTCTAAAGTGCACATTGGATCATGTCACTCCCTTGCTTACAACCCTCCAGTGGTTTGTGGCCTTTGGGATGCAGCTCAAATTCCCTAACGTGGTTGGCTAGACCCTCTGTGAATGGCCTCTGCCCTCTCAGGCACGCTCTCGCTCCAGCCCTACCGGTGTTTGTGGTCCTCCACCGGGCGGCGTTTGCTCAGCCTGGAGCTTTCCCCCCACGCCCTTTGCCTGGCCACTGTATTCCTCACTCAGGTTTAAGTTCAAATGGCAGTTCCTCAGGGAAGCCTGCCTTCGCCCTTCTAGGCTAAGTAAGGGGCACTGCTCTTTTTTTCCTATAGCATTCTGCTTATTTTCTCTCTCAACTTAAGTGCATTTTATTATAAGTGTGTAGTTTTAAAAGACAGTAAGAGCACAAAGAGCAGATTATGGAGCCCACCTGCCTGATGTGAATCAGAGTCCACCTACTGTGACTTATGGTAAGTTACTGGCTGAGCTCCCCTACCTGTAAAAGGGACAAAGGTAATACCTCATAGTGTAGTTCTGAGGATTAAATGAGCTAATTAATATATGTTAAGTGCACTCCAAGTGCTCAGTAAATGTTCATTATTGCTATAAATAAAACCAAGGCGCCGG